GGCTTTTTAATGAGGCATAATTTTTCTTCTATCTTTGCTCTAGGACTTGCAATATGCACTTACCTTCACAGCCTACTTAGAGTTAATATTTACCAAAAACAGATTGATTTACCACTCTGTCCCTCACCCTTTAAGGCAGGATTTCTCAATGTAGGTACTATTGATATTTTGTTGTAGGAACTGTCCTGTGCATTATAGGATGTTAACAGCATCTCTGTCCTCTACTCACTAGATACTAGCAGCACCCCCATCCATAGAAAATATATCCAGGCATTACCAAAATCCCCAGGCTGAGAACACCTGCTTTAAGTTACAGATGTCCTATGTGTTATATCTGTCTTTCTTTTAATTGTGTTGTTTTTTTTTTCTGTATTTATTTATTTATTTATTTATTTAAATCTTTATTGTTGAGAGTATTACAGATGTACCCCTTTTTTGTTCCCTCCACCCGGTTCCTGCCTCTCCCAGGCCTTCACCACTCTATTGCCTGTGTCCATAGGAAATGCATATATGCATATAAGTTCTTTGGTTAATCTCTTTCTGCACTCCCCACCCCACTTCCCTCTGAGATTTTTCAGTCTGTTCCATGTTCCCATGCCTCTGTTTCTATTTTATTCATCAGTTTATTTTGTTAGATTCCTTGTTCGTTTATTTTGTTTTTTAGATTAAATTGTTGATAGATAATGTATTTATTGGCATTTTATTGTTAACATTTTTTATCCTTTTTTCTTCTTCCTAAAGAAAATCCTTCAACATTTCATGTAATGCTGGTTTGGTGGTGATGAACTCCTTTTGCTTTTTCTTGTCTGTGAAGCTCTTTATTTGACTTTCAATTCTAAATGAGAGCTTTGTTGGGTAGAGTAATCTTAGTTGTAGGTCCTTGCTATTTATTACTTTGACTATTTCTTGCCACTCCCTTCTGGCCTGCATAATTTCTGTTGAGAAATCAACTGACAGTCATATGGGCATTCCCTTGTATGTAACTAACTGCTTTTCTCTTACTGCTTTTAAGATTCTCTCTTTGTCTTTAATGTTTGGCATTTTAATTATGATGTGTCTTGGTGTGGGTCTCTTTGGGTTCCTCTTATTTAGGACTCTGTGCATCCTAGACTTATAAGTCTATTTCTTTCACCAGATAGGGGAAGTTTTCTGTCATTATTTCTTCAAATAGGTTTTCAATATCTTGCTCTCTCTCTCTTCTCCTTCTGCCACCTCCATAATGCAAATGTGGGTACGCTTGAAGTTGTCCCTGAGGCTCCTTACACTATCTTCACATTTTTGGATTCTTTTTTCTTTTTGCTCTTCTGATTGGGTGTTTTTTGCCTCCTCATATTCCAAATCATTGATTTGATTCTTGGAATACTCTACTCTACTGTTGAATCCCTATAAATTATTCTTTATTTCAGTTAGTGTATGCTTAATTTCTGACTGGTCCTTCTTCATGTCTTTGAAATTCTCTCTAAGATCCTTGAAAGTCTCACTAAGTCCCTTGAAGCTCTCAGTAGATCCTTGAGCATCCTTATAATCATTGTTTTGAACTCTATATCTAGTAGTTAGTTTGCTTCCATTTCATTTAGTTCTTTTTCTGGAGATTTCTTCTGTACTTTCATTTGTGACATACTTCTTTGTGTCCACATTTTGGCTGCTTTCCTGTGTTTGTTTCTATATATTAGATAGAGCTGCTCTGTCTCCTGGAATTTGTAGTGGCCTTGTGTAGTAGGTGTCCTGTAAGGCCCAGTGGCTCACCTCCCCAGTCACCTGAGCTGGGCACTCAAGGTGCGCCCAGTGTAGGCTGTGTGCACAGTCTTGTTGTGATTGAGCCTTGATTGTTGTTGGTGTCACTGGGAGAAATTGACCTTCAGGCCAATTGGCTGTAAGGACTAGCTGCAGCTACAATGGAAGAGCTGCTGTGCAAGAGACACCCCTATGGAGCAGGACTTGCTTCAGTGGGGCTTTGGCGCTCACTGAATCTGCTACTCGAGTATGTCACTTGTAGATGTGTAGAGTTGTCATCTGGTATGGTCTGAAGCTGACCACTGGGTACACTGGCTCTGAGGTCTCCTGAAAGGTGCAAAGTCAGCCACTGCCTGGGATGACCTGGGAGGAGATACAGAGTGATCTGGAGATGGTGGCTACTTGTGCTGGACTTGGAAGTGCCTAGGCCACACCAAGCTGTGAAGCAAGGCAGGCTACTGCTAGTACCTAGTTTGGGGCCTCTTATTGATAGGTATAGAGCATTCTGATGCCAGCTGATGCTTATTTGAGAGATTTTACAAAAATCTGAAGCCTGAACCAGGACAGGCCAGTCATACAGAAAAACTGCTACAAACAGCTTGGGTGGGGCTGCAAATTGGATGGGGCAGGGTCTCAGGGAATCAGCACTGTGGAGCGAACAGTGTAAGCCTGGCTGATGGAATCTCCTATTTGGCTGCCAGTCAGCTCTGTGATAGAGGAGGTCTCAGCATAGGAAGAATGACCCCTGCGAGCACCCGTCTGGGAGAAAGCCGCCCCTGAGTACTTGCTCCAATGCCAGTTCCTCCCCATATGTCCCTGTATTCCTCCATGCCGCTGCCCCAGTGCTGGAGCTCAGAGGAAGAAGGTCCTATGTGTTCTATCTGCCTTTGTTTTAAACCCATAAGATAATGTTTAATTAGTCATGTATTTTAAAGAAATTAAGAGAAAAATAATTTTATAATATTTCTAATTACTATTTCCAGTGCTCTCCATTCTTTTCTGAAGAATTGAATTTCTCTCTGGTGTTATTTCCTTTTAGCTGGGAAAACTCGCTTTAGCATTTCCTGTAATGCAGGTCTGCTGGCAGCGAGTGGTTTTCTTTTATCTGAAAAGTCTTTAGCCTTCATTCTGAGTTGACAACTTCACCTGAGCTGTAATGGACAATTATGGTGGCTCCAAATGGATTGATGTTTCTATCTCTCCCTCTCTTCTCTGAAATCAATAAAAATATTTTTTTTAAATAATAAGACAAGTGAAAAAGTAAATTAAAAAAATCCACCCAGCCATGTAAGGGAGGAAGTTTGTGTCCAACTGCATTTCCTCAGCATGACTGTATGCGATACCACTGTTGTTGAACAATGGCTTTTTAATTATTTTCATACTTCTTTATATTCATCTAGTATCACCAAGGCAATTGTTAATTGCCAAGCACCATACTAGGCTCTGGGGACAGGTTGGTGTACATTTTAATAGAAGGAGGAACAAAATAAGTACATACATATTTAAACAAATGAGAATTTCAGATGGTCAGAAATATGAATAAAATAGATCAGAGTAAGGGGATAGAAGTGACATGGGTAAAGTGGTGCAGCCACTGCTTTAGATGAGGTGGTTAGGGAAGGCCTTTGGGAAGGAGCCAGCCTTGCTGAGGGAAGGGCATCCTATGCAGAGGAAAGGGCAAGAATAGTAGCCCAGAGAATAACATGGGAAGTCCTTGGAGGGTCATCATCAGGAAGAGACATGGTTATAATTGCTAACAACACTGAGCCCTCCCTCTGTGCCTGCACTCTGAACATTATACATCCCTCACTCCATTTAATCCTCCCCGTAACCTTATTACCTCCATGATATCAGAAAGCGGTGGCTGTGGCACTTTATCCAAGGTCAGGCCAGTCATCAAAGGAGCCAGGATCACACCCAGACAGCCTGGACTCCAGAACATACCTACATAACCACATCTAGAACCACCTCCAGGAAGCAGATCCATGTCTTTAAGTCAGCTATATGGTCAGAGACTGAGCTCATCTCATTTTTTTCCAGGTGTACAAAAGAGCCAAGGCACTGGACCAGTCTGACAACGACATGTCTGCCGTGTACCGGGCCTACATACACTAAGCCCCCACTCCCTCCCTCCCTCTGACCCCCTCTTCCTCACATGGGGTTGGGGTCCTGGGACTTCACTCTGGACCAGTCCACCTGTCTCCATCTCCTTTTATACAGACTTTGAGACTTGCCATCAGCACAGCACTACTCCTCCCCTGAAAGTCCTGGGAACCAGGGAGGTGTCAGCAGGATTGGCCTGTAGCAAAGCTCTTGAGCTGGGCACTGGCCCCTGAACCAGGTGGCTGTGTGTTCACACATACACACACACACACATACACACATATACACCCACACTGGCTCTTACTCCAGGATAGAAGCTGCCCGGAAACTGCTGCCTGGCTTTTTTCCCCTTCTTCCACGCTTGTCTTATCTCATACCCCTTCCAGTCGAGGAACTAGAATCAGCAATGAGAATTGGAAGCCTTCCTGCTTCCCTCAGAGCGAAGAGGCTGTGGTCACATTCACGTTCCCGACTGGATCCCTTGCAGAGAGAGGCTCTGGGCCAAGATGAACTAGTACAGACTAAACGGAGGATCCTGTGGACCCTCCCAACCTCAGGTGACCAGCTGATGGGGATTGTCATGTTTAAGCTGCCAACGTGCAACCAACTCTCCAGAAATGCCTTTGTGAACTGAAAAGAGATTGGCAAAGTCAAGTGAAGACAAGGCTCTGGCTTTCCAGGGAGAGCAGCAGTCAGCCTGTAGGTTGAGTCTCATGGAAGCCTATCTCCTCACTGCTCTTCAGCACCCATCCTAGAAGTCACCATCACTACGGAGTCCTGGGCTAGGATCAGACTTCTTGCTTTGGTGTAGGGGGCTCTCACTCCTCAACACGCTGTTTTAGTATTTAGATTTGCATTCCAGCCCTTGGGAAGGGGATCCTGAGGGCCACCAGTGAAGAGTGAGGGGGGGTGGGCTTTCTGTTTCCTTTATGCCACAGACTTCATATGGCCCTGAAGAGCCAATCTGACCCAGGTGCCCTCACAGTGGTCCCACTTTCTCCAGCCTGCCCCTGTACAAGTCCTCTGCATGCCCACCTCTCTCCATTCTCCTCCCTCTCCCCTTTTCCTCCCATGGAAGCAGAATTTCTTCCTCTCTCTGTCCCTTTGGCCCCGACCCAGCCTGACAAACGATGACCATTTCTTAGGCTCAGCTCTTGAACAGAATGAGTGTCTTCACTTCAGCCAGCAACTTGGTACTTCGGTACTTCCAGGGTCCTGAGGTCTGTCGGGAGGGAAAAGGAGAACTGGGCTTGACTGAACCTGAACTAACTGACCCTCAGAGGTGGATCCAAGACATCCTTGAGGACCTAGTATATCTCCTTGGATAGGGGACCAGAGGGTGTTGGAATGTGGCAAAAGAACAAGGAGAAGTCATCTGAAGGTTGTCATTGTCTCCCTCTGCATGGGTTGGATTTTCAAAGTCACACTTTGCAGAAGGTCAGCATTTATAGTGAATATATAATTATATATAAAAAATGAGGTGGCCACACTGGTGTGGGTCCCTTCCCCTCACAACCTTGGCTCTTTTCCACTGATCAGAACCCAAGTTATGGGATCTCAGAAGACAGGAGAGGGCAGGGAAGATGCCTGTGGGTTTTGACACAGTTGATTTCACTGGGATTTTGAATTATTTTCTCTCTGAACACAAAGCCTGTTATAGTCCTAGCTGGACACTGGGGGGTGGGGGGCGGTTTGGGAGTAGGGGAAGATGCTGTAATGAAACTGTTAGTCAATGTTGTCTTAATATTGTTGACAATTCTGTAAAGTTCCTTTTTATGAATATTTCTGTTTAAGCTATTTCACCTTTGTTTTGAAATCCTTCCCTTTTAAGGAAAAAATGTGACACTTGTGGAAAAGCTTGTAAGAAAGCCCCTCCTCCGTCCCCCTCCTTTTTTTCTTTAAATGACAAATCTGGTAATTAAGGTTGTGAATTTTTATTTTTGCTTTGTTTTTCATGAACATGTTTTTCAGAATAGGATTGTGTGATAATGTTTAAATGGCAAAAACAAATGATTTTGTGCAATTAACAAAAGGCTACTGCAAGCAGAATAAAACGTTTCTTGGTAACCCAACTGGGACTGATTACCTCGCCTGCGCCTAAACACTGTACCGCCCAGCCGTGGTGGGAGGAGGGCGGAGGCTAAGCCCCGGGCTTTTTCCTTAACCTGGACCCATGAACTAGGGTGGAAGGCCAGGCCCAGCTGGAGCCGGCTGCCCCGTCGGCCAATCGCCAGGCGCGGCGAGAGCCAGCCATTCCGCCGGCCAATAAAGCGCAAGTGGGTAAGGGCACCCTATCAGAGCCCGGGAGAGGCGGGACGAGAGCGCTCCAGCCGAAGAGCTGGCTTGGAT